CCCTGCATTAAGCACGCCCCAGCCCACGCGCCTCGCCCCTCCTTTCAGGCGTCATCGCGTCTGGTCCCCGGGTGGATTGAATTCCGTGCCCTTTTGTCGAAAACAGAAAGGAATGGCGTGAGATGCAGCGCCGCATATACATAACCTTTTGGTACTCAGCATTTATGAATCCGGTTTAATTCACGTTTCCATTCTCATGTTAGCTACTGACTCCACCTTTTCAGTATTGGACTGAAATAAGTCTGGTCGATTTCAGAAACTGCAATCCTCCTAACGGGAGCCATTCCCGCGCAACTCAGTGGGAATTCATGCTACTACTGAATGGGCTGGTTAACTAAAGTTAAGGGATCCTTGAGACGCAGTAGAAAATCCGAACATGCGCCGGAAGCACACCTGTGTCGCTGCTCCAAAAGCGAGACTCCTTCGCTCGGAAGAAGCGAAGGTTTGAAGTGAGTGTGCTCTGAATCCAAGCTCTAGCCAGGGTCTTAGGGAGGGGGTCGGGCCGGAAACTTTTCCGGGCAGAGGCCAAGTGAAAATGGGGAGGGAGGGCGGGCCTTTGGACAAGGCGCCGAATGTGGAGGAGAAATCTCAGCTGGAAGAGTCAGGCACATGCATGAATGAGAATACCCGGGTTTCCTCACCGAAAAGTTTCCCGCTACATCGCATAGACTCCCGCTTGTCCCACCGAAATTAAGGATTGTATCTTTGGGAACACTGGCATCGGATTGCATTACCCTTCCAAGTTTGGAGCAACCCGAGCTAGCGATGTCACTAGATGAATGGGAAGAAATGGAGGGTTCCGTTTTCCCAAGGAGGGATATTTGCAGAGCGCCTCCCCCTAGACCTCCCCACTTCGTTACCAGAAGACGGGAGGGATGAAGTACTGTAGCTGAAATTTAAGAGCAATAGATGAGCAGATCTAACAAATGCGTGCTCGTTTTTAGCGAGGAGCCGAAGAACCGTTTCAGGCGGCAGATGTGGAACCCGGGGCCCTCCGGATGGTGCTGAAAGACAACTCCCGAGGAAGGCCGCCTCGCCATTGGCCATCTTGACCGGGATCGCGGGAAGTTGTCGATCTATAGCATCGGGAGAGCCGCGGGTTCCCCACTCCTCCCTCCTGAAAATGCGAGGGAGGAGGAGGAGGAGGAGGAGGAAAAGCGCTCTTTCCGTGCGCTTGCTTTCCACAGTTGGTTACTTGTAACTTTTCGCATCAAAGTTCCACATCCGGTAATAGTCATTTGCAGCGGGCAACCCTAGCTTTCTAGTCGGAAGAAAACGCAGTGGGATTCATGCCCGGAATAGGTGTGTTTCTCTTCAGAACGTGTTTCTCCGCCGCTCTGTGGTAGAAATTCCCAAAGCGGTTGTCTTATGAAGAACAGAAGGAGCGAGGGAGGGGCTTCTCCTGGCATCAGCTGTCAAAGACCTGCCTTTCCAGAAAGGAAAATGCTCGCCCTTCCGATGGACGGCCTCGGTGCTCAGGCAGAACTTTTTCGGGGAGCGAGCGCTGGGGTTGCAATGCAGCACTTCCTCCTGCGGGATTCTGCGCGAATGGCAGGTTCGCTGATCCTGGCGATTATACACCGGCCGTGAGAGTTTAGCCGGTTCCTGCGTCAAAACCGCATCCTGGATTCTGTCATCTGGTTATCATATAAGAGTGTAGGAACCTATCCTTGAACTTCTAAGAAAACTCTTGAGACACGCAGGGCCCAAGGCCGGTGCGGTGCTGGGCTTAGAATGCCAAATTAGGACCCGAGTTCTAATGCGTCCTTAGCAGTGATATTCCATGGAGATATTATTTCTCAGCCTAAGCTACCTTTGTAGGATCCTATACGTCCAATTTGGAGCAGGACGGAAATGCAGTAAGCAACGGGTGTGTTCATCTGCCACACTTAGTCTTAACATAAGCGATCATATTTTAGCCAAATAGAAAGAAGCACACAGGCGGGAGGGGGATGAGCCCCAGTTAGAAAAAAATCACTCCTCTGGCTTGTTCCTTCTTCTCCTGATCCAGGCTGAACCGAATTACTCCTGGAAAGGTCCTGCATTATTCCACTTTTGACCCTGGAAACAAATAGAGTTGAGTTTCTCTATGAGAAGAGATCACAGGAAAAGAGGAAGCCTGGGTTTATGAGACCCTTTTAGCCATAGTTAGTCAAGCATAGATTATTGAATTATCTCACTTTCTGGGTTAAACTGGGAAGATTGTGTTTGCATAACATGCTAGACTAAAATATCGTTAATTAATTTGTGGTTCAGTCACTTCAGTGTAATTCTAGAAGTCCCCGACATACCACTATGTAGACACAATGTGGCTTACTTAATCATAGTTTAACTATCTGCAATGGATGGATTCACACAATATGCTAAAAGCACAAGTTAGCCAGGTTTCATCTTCATCTCCTGAAGAATGACAGGTGCTGGCAAGGAGGCCACCTAGAGAAACCCAGTTACTCTAAAAAGTAAGACACCCAAGCGTTAGAAGAAGCCTCAGAAGGGTGGGGGTGGAGAAGGAGAAGGAGAAGGAGAAGGAGAAGGAGAAGGAGAAGGAGAAGGAGAAGGAGAAGGAGAAGCAGCATCCCCGGTAAACGATAACCTGGAATAGAAGCTGGTGGAGAACTCTGCCAGCTGGTGGAGATCTCTGCCAGAGACTCCCCTGCCAATAATCTCTGCTCTCCCAGGAAAGGAAACAGCGCGCACCCACCGCCGCCTCCTCCTCGTCCTCCTCCTCCATTATTCAGTACGCTCGCTCCGGGCCAGTTCACTTGCCAATTTCCACGTGGGGCGAGGGGTGGGAGGGGGAGAGACGACAAGACGGCCGGTGGGGGGGAAGCTTGCCCGTCCCAAAGGAGAGCTGGGGGGTGCAAAGGCTGGGGCTGCGATCTTCTGACGCTAGGCGAGAGTCAATCTCCTTGAAGCCCGCGGGGTCAGGGAAGTGCATAAGGGGCTGAGAAAAGAGCAGGACCCTTGTTATTAAACCCTAGCTGAACTTGAGTTAGGGGTAGGCAACCTGGTGCCCTCCGTTTTGAGGGGTTGAGTACAGTTGCCCAAAGCCCCAGTCGCCATCCCCAGTGGGCGAGGTGAGGAGGGGGCGGTCCAGCCACATCAGCCGGATCCCTCTCCTTTGGTTGCTTGAGCCGAACGTCACCTCAGATCAGCCTCCTCTCCGGAGGAAAAGCCAGCCCCCGAAGCGACCTCGCAGGGCCGGTGGTGGAGGAAGAGGAGGAGAGGCGTTCTGCCGGCGCTAAAATGGCTTGTCCCAGCCCGGGCTATTGCGCTGGGAATGATGGGAGCGACTCCATCCCATCCAGAGGACATCGGTCAGGCAAACTGCTCCAGTTCCCGCTGTTTCTTCAGGTAGTGTAAGAAAAAGGTTTACAATAAGATGGGTAATTGGTACTCTTCCTTCCCATCCCCACTCCCTGACCGTCGCTGCGGAAACTAACAACTTGAACACACGCGCGCGCGCACACACGCGCTCCCTGTTATTAATCTGACTGGCGGGCTGGAAACCTGGGATTAGGGTCCGTTGAACTCAGCGAGACTTATTGCTGTGAAGCCCTGGGTTTGGGGTCGCCAGTTGGCTAGATCTAATGTATGTTTACTCACTAGTAAATCTCGCTAAGTTCAATGGGGCTTGCAGGTCTGATCAAGAGCGTGAAGTACAACTGTAAGCTAATGTAGCCTAAAAGTAAAAAGAAAAGCAGTGACATGACTGGAAAGTGAGGGACACTTTCCACGTATGTTGTGCGGCTTCTGAAGACTAAGGATTTGCGGATTTGGTCGGTTTGGGTGGCAACACCTGCACAAAAGCCAGCCAGCCAGCCAGCCAACCGCCCGTCACAATTTCCATAGACTTGAAATCCGGGCAAAACCCACAGTTTAGGCTTTACAAAAACGTTCGCTTCTGACCAAAAACCAGCCCACGATGAACAGCTTTGGTTATTCTAACTTGGAACACGCCAGGTTTCTTTTTTTTCTTTCTTTCTTCCAATTCGGGTGACAGAATGTACACGCAGGATCCTCATAATCTGCATTAAGTAACGGAGGGGTGGGAAAGGGGGAGACGAAGAACTCTGGGTGTAAATGACCTCATCTTCCAATGCAGCGGAGTGGGCCGCGACTGTCATTTATAGGGACGTGTGTCTCTGATTGACAGGGCTACGGAGGAGGGGGCAAGTCTGGGGCCCGGGAACGCACGCGCACACCCGCGCGCGCCTCTCGACTGGGGAGGATGCGAATTCGCGACCCCGCCAACAAGCGCCGGAGAGGAACTCTCGAGAGCCTCGGGAGGGCTGGGAAGGGCTCTTCTGTACAATCTGGCGCCGCGTTTGTTTGCCTCGCTGCCTCCGGAGTGAAATATCACAAGATGGAGAGACAGACGGCGAGGGGTGCGGGTGGGCGGTGGCGGGCGGTAGCTCAGGCTGACTCAAGGGGG